AGCACCCCTGATTGGCTGCTGGTGTTGCACGCAGCACCCCTGATTGGCTGCTGGTGTTGCACGCAGCACCCCTGATTGGCTGCTGGTGTTGCACGCAGCACCCCTTATTGGCTGCTGGTGTTGCACGCAGCACCCCTGATTGGCTGCTGGTGGTGCACGCAGCACCCCTGATTGGCTGCTGGTGGTGCACGCAGCACCCCTCATAGGCTGCTGGTGGTGCACGCAGCACCCCTCATAGGCTGCTAGTTTTGCCCCCTCCCTGTGCAGGGGATTTCAAGAGGCCTATAGCAAGTCAAACTAGTTACACTGACGGACACAGGAAGTCTTTAACGTTCTGGTTATACTGCCACCTACAGGAGGATTGGACGCTGGCAAACAAACTGTAGGCCAGCCCAGAGTAACCTCTCCTACTATCAGCGTGCCTCATTTTTTTGCTGATACAAATCCTCTTGTATATTATCCTGGAATGTGTAATATCTGCTTTTTGTTTTTCGTGAAGTATCTTTGCTGTATTGGTACTGAGTTCTTTTCTTCTGCTTTTTATAGGCCGGACGGGATTGAACGGCAGTACAGGAAAAAATGCAGCAAGTAAGTGAATGTATCTCATTTTTTCTGACATTTTATATATCGATATACCGGAGTGACATGACAATGTAAATGTACCAGGGACTGGCTTTGTATTCCGGAAAGTCGGAACATTTTGTCCCCTCAGATATGTGTCTGTGATGCAGAGATAAGTTAGAAGTGACGGTCGGCCTGCAGATAGTTTACCTGATGTGAACTGAGCAGGCGTGCCGGGTGATGAATGACATTCCACCGCGCACACTTCTTCCGCCTTAACCCTCTCACTGCCAAGGAGGAGATGCATGTGACTGCTCTTCCTGTGTTGGGAAGCCATGGACATTCACTGTGTGGCCAAAGTTGGTGCACACCTGACCGTCGCACCTTTATGAGCTTGTTGGATTCCGCAAACGTGGCGGTCGTGGAGTTGGTCCCCTTTCCAGCTATAACCTCCCCCACTCTTCTGGGAAGATGTTCCACATGATTTTGGAGGGTGTCTGTGGGAATTTGTGGCCATCTGTGAAGTCAGGTACTGATGTTGGGTGAGAAGACCTGGATCATAATCGGGGGATGAGGTCAGGGCTGTGTGCACTGTGCAGGACACTTGAGTTCTTCCGCACCAAACTGGTCATACCATGTCTTTATACTCTGTCCTCCCCTCTCTTCTTCCTCTCTCTCCTCCCCTCTCTTCTTCCTCTCTCTCCTCCCCTCTCTTCTTTCTCTCTCTCCTCCCCTCTCTCCTCCCCTCTCTTCTTCTTCTCTCTCCTCCCCTCTCTTCTTCCTCTTTCTCTCTCTCTCTCTCTCTCTCCTCCCCTCTCTTCTTTCTCTCTCTCCTCCCCTCTCTCCTCCCCTCTCTTCTTCTTCTCTCTCCTCCCCTCTCTTCTTCCTCTTTCTCTCTCTCTCTCTCTCTCTCCTCCCCTCTCTTCTTTCTCTCTCTCCTCCCCTCTCTCCTCCCCTCTCTTCTTCTTCTCTCTCCTCCCCTCTCTTCTTCCTCTTTCTCTCTCTCTCTCTCTCTCTCCTCCCCTCTCTTCTTTCTCTCTCTCTCTCCTCCCCTCTCTTCTTTTTCTCTCTCTCTCTCCTCCCCTCTCTTTCTCTCCTCCCCTCTCTCCTCCCCTCTCTCCTCCCCTCTCTCTCCTTCCTCTCCTCCCCTCTCCTTCTTCTCTCTCCTCCCCTCTCTTCTTCCTCTTTCTCTCTCTCTCTCCTCCCCTCTCTTCTTTCTCTCTCTCTCTCTCTCTCTCTCTTCCCCCCCTCCCTCTCTCTCTCCTCCCCTCTCTTCTTTCTCTCTCTCTCTCTCTCTCTCTCTTCCCCCCCTCCCTCTCTCTCTCCTCCCCTCTCTTCTTTCTCTCTCTCTCTCTCTCTCTCTCTTCCCCCCCTCCCTCTCTCTCTCCTCCCCTCTCTTCTTTCTCTCTCTCTCTCTCTCTCTCTCTTCCCCCCCTCCCTCTCTCTCTCCTCCCCTCTCTTCTTTCTCTCTCTCTCTCTCTCTCTCTCTTCCCCCCCTCCCTCTCTCTCTCCTCCCCTCTCTTCTTTCTCTCTCTCTCTCTCTCTCTCTCTTCCCCCCCTCCCTCTCTCTCTCCTCCCCTCTCTTCTTTCTCTCTCTCTCTCTCTCTCTCTCTTCCCCCCCTCCCTCTCTCTCTCCTCCCCTCTCTTCTTTCTCTCTCTCTCTCTCTCTCTCTCTTCCCCCCCTCCCTCTCTCTCTCCTCCCCTCTCTTCTTTCTCTCTCTCTCTCTCTCTCTCTCTTCCCCCCCTCCCTCTCTCTCTCCTCCCCTCTCTTCTTTCTCTCTCTCTCTCTCTCTCTCTCTTCCCCCCCTCCCTCTCTCTCTCCTCCCCTCTCTTCTTTCTCTCTCTCTCTCTCTCTCTCTCTTCCCCCCCTCCCTCTCTCTCTCCTCCCCTCTCTTCTTTCTCTCTCTCTCTCTCTCTCTCTCTTCCCCCCCTCCCTCTCTCTCTCCTCCCCTCTCTTCTTTCTCTCTCTCTCTCTCTCTCTCTCTTCCCCCCCTCCCTCTCTCTCTCCTCCCCTCTCTTCTTTCTCTCTCTCTCTCTCTCTCTCTCTTCCCCCCCTCCCTCTCTCTCTCCTCCCCTCTCTTCTTTCTCTCTCTCTCTCTCTCTCTCTCTTCCCCCCCTCCCTCTCTCTCTCCTCCCCTCTCTTCTTTCTCTCTCTCTCTCTCTCTCTCTCTTCCCCCCCTCCCTCTCTCTCTCCTCCCCTCTCTTCTTTCTCTCTCTCTCTCTCTCTCTCTCTTCCCCCCCTCCCTCTCTCTCTCCTCCCCTCTCTTCTTTCTCTCTCTCTCTCTCTCTCTCTCTTCCCCCCCTCCCTCTCTCTCTCCTCCCCTCTCTTCTTTCTCTCTCTCTCTCTCTCTCTCTCTTCCCCCCCTCCCTCTCTCTCTCCTCCCCTCTCTTCTTTCTCTCTCTCTCTCTCTCTCTCTCTTCCCCCCCTCCCTCTCTCTCTCCTCCCCTCTCTTCTTTCTCTCTCTCTCTCTCTCTCTCTCTTCCCCCCCTCCCTCTCTCTCTCCTCCCCTCTCTTCTTTCTCTCTCTCTCTCTCTCTCTCTCTTCCCCTCCTTCCTCTCTCTCTCCTCCCCTCTTTCTCTCCTCACCTCCTTCCTCTCTCCTCCCCTCTCTTCTTTCTCTCTCTCTCTCTCTCTCTCTCTCTCTCCTCCCCTCTCTTCTTCCTCTCCTCCTTTCCACATATAGTATATGTGTACATTCAACAACCATGGAGTTGTCCTCCCTTTGTGCCTACACCAGCTTCCACAAGTTTTTGGAGGGTGTCTGTGGGAATTTGCCCCATTGGTGAGGTCAGGTACTGATGTTGGATGAGAAGACCTGGCTCACAATTGGCATTCCAATTCATCCCAAAGATGATCAGTAAGGTTGAGGTCAGGGCTGTGTGCAAGACACTCGAGTTCCTCCACAACAAACTGATCACACTATGTCTTTATGGAACTGGCTTTGTACACAGGGGACAGTCATGGTGGGACTGGAAAGGGTCTTCACCAAACTGTAACCACAAGGCTGGAAGAGGACAATTGTCTAGACTGTCTTTGTATGATTGAGTGTTACCAGAACCTTCACTTGAAAGCTCATCATACACTCTATGCACGGCATCCTTTTTAAATAAACCCTCTTTAGCTACTGATGTTGGATGAGGAGGCCTGGCCCATTCACCCCAAAGGCGCTCAGTAGGGTTGAGGTCCGGGCTCTGTGTAGGTCACACCATATCTTTATGGAGCTGGCTTTGTACACCGGCTTCACTTGCCGAGGCTGCCTGGCTTCTTGACCAATCAGGAAGCTGGTCGTCGAGTCATGAGGTACCATCCGGCTTTCAGCTTGGTCAGGAAGCCATAGGCATTAGTCTATCTAGTTAGGAAGCTAGGCTGCCTAGCAACTAGTGAAGCCGGCTTCGTAGCCAGTCAGGGAGGTGGGTCATAACCCATCGCTTGGCTTCCTGATTGGAAAGGAAGCCGGCTCCATGCTCCCTCGTCACTGCTGGTCAGAGTGAAAGTTCTGATATCAGAGGTAAGTATTGGAGCATTTGGGCGAGTACAAGTACTCGCCCAAATACTCGGTATCGGCACCGAAACTAGTATCGGTCATCCCTAGTTTTAAAGGCAAGTTCTTTTAAAAAGTGCTCAATTTCTCTGGACTGCACCATGATTTGTGAAGGACTAGGGCCGCTTCTCTGCAATGCAGATGTTAATATACAGGTGAATTACCCCTTTAAATTACGGTATCTCATATCTCCTGCTGATTGCTCCCTTTTTAATACATTTAAATGACCTATTTTGCATTCCCCTATTTTTATTGTATGGGTATAATCGTTTTGACTGTTGGGGGCATGGAAGGTTTTGGAGGAGCGTGTACTGTTCCTTTGTCTCACGAAGGTGAAGATCCACTACTATAGATCACCTGCGTATTGCTCGATGTGCCCCAGTGCACCTCTCTGCTGTCCTGAATTCTATTTCTGGCCCTCCGCGTAGACGCTTTTAGCCGTATCTGTGCAGTACAGGAACATGCGGCATTCTTGACATTTTTATAATCCCTCCAGCGAGGCCCTGAGACCGGGGATAGCATTGATTAGTAGATGGCACGTCCTGAGCAGTCGTGTGTATGAAGCTGCCGTTAAAAGAGCCGCTCATATCGCTTCTTCATTATGTGATATAAGGAAAGATAGAACATGATTGTGGAATGCAGAGTCTGGATGCAGCTATTAAATTGCTGAGTAACTGTAAAATTGTACACGTTCTGCATATTACGGAGTATGTGATCCTTATGTGAAATGCACATTGGTAGTTGGTTGTGAGTTGTGTATCCACTGATGTCATGTTGCTATGAAAGAACCAAAAATGTGGCCATAATTTTATATATTATTTGGATATATGTCACAGTACTGCCTAGGATCTTCTGTTGAATTTATACTACAACATACAAAGACATTGTAGACGATTGTGCTCTTCCAGCCTTGTGGTCACAGTTTGGTGAAGACCCTTTTCTGTTCCACCATGACTGTCCCCTGTGTACAAAGCCAGCCCCATAAATGCATGGTGTGACCAGTTTGGGGGGGGACTCGAGTATCCTGCACAGGGCTCCAACCTCAACCTCAACCTTACTGAACACATTTGGGATAAATCACAACATTGAGTGTGAGTCAGATCTTCTCATCCACCATCAGTACCTGACCTCACAAATGGGGCACATTCCCACCAACACCCTCCAAATTCTTGTGTTAAGCCTTCCCAGAAGAGTGGAGGCTGGCATAGCCACAACGCCATATTCATGACCATGGTTTTGGGAATTTATGAAAACCATAAAATATGATGGTCAGTGGTCCACAAAGACATTGTAGACAATTGTGCTCTTCCAGCCTTGTGGTCACAGTTTGGTGAAGGCCCTTTTCTGTTCCTCCATGACTGTCCCCTGTGTACATAGCCAGCTCCATAAAGACATGGTGTGACCAGTTTGGTGTGGAGGAACTCGTGTGTCCTGCACAGATCCCTGACCTCAACCCTACTGAACACCTTTGGGATGAAATGGAATCAGATTGTGAGCCAGATCTTCTCATCCAACATCAGTAGCTGAAGAGGGCTTATTTAAAAAGATGACGTGCATAAAGTGTATCGGGCACGTTTATCTCCAACAGTGATGTGAACCCGACATACATTGTTGACACTTGACCATCACACCTACATATATTGCCAAAAATATGAGGACCCCCTGCAAATGATTTTCAGGTGTCTCCAGTGAAGGTTCTGTTAATATTACAGCATACAAAGACATTGTAGACAATTTGAGCTCTTCCAGCTTTGTGGTCACAGTTTGGTGAAGACCCTTTTCTGTCCCCTGTGTACAAAGCCAGCTCCATAAAGACATGGTGTGACCAGTTTGGTGAGGAGGAACCCGAGTGTCCTACACAGAGCCCTGACCTCAATCCTACTGAACACCTTTGGGATAAATTGGAACACCAATTGTGAGCCAGGTCTTCTCATCCAACATCAGTACCTGACATCACAAATGGCCACAAATTGACACAGACACCCTCCAAAATCTTGTGGAAAGTCTTTCCAGAAGAGTGGTGGATGTTATAACTGTAAAGGGGAGAGATCTCAATTTTAATGGCCAAGCTCCATAAAGACATGGTTTGACCGGTTTGGTGTGGAGGAACTCGAGTGTCCTGCACAGAGCCCTGACCTCCACCCTACTGAACACCTTTTGTGAGCCAGGTCTTCTCATCCATTATCAGTACCTGACCTCACCAATGCTTTTTTGACTGGGTACAAATTTCCACTGATGGACAGAAATACAAATCCTTCGGCTGGTACATCAGCTGCCTTGTATGTGTTTAGCAATCCCCCAAGAGTCGAGGTTTAACTTGTCAAAGCCTAAAGCGTATTTTATTCCTGTGGAGGAGCCGAGCCTACAAGTGAGAAGAGATTATTCATTTCATAGTTTGTACACAAGGTTTTTCCATTTGCAGCTGTCGGGAAGCTCAGCTAAAATAATGTGACATCTGACAGTTCCCATTAGTCCATTTCTGTTTTACTGGCTGACAAACGGCGAAACCGACAACCTGTTCCATCATGACAAATGCTTTATTCCATCTCAAAGGAGGCATGCGTTGGCTTCCCCGGGGTTATCCAAGCTGTGGCCTCCCTAAATTTGTGCATATCCAATAGCATGGAACTGGCGAGACTAAAAGCACGCTACATGGATCATTAAAGAGACCCTGTCATGACTTTTTACTAATCACTGACGGGTAAAGAAGATATATTCACAATTACTCTCTGTTGAATCAAACTGTAATCTTTGGGCAGGGTTATCGGCATGGCTAAATTAAATCTGATTCCTCGTTAAACGGCTATATACGCAGATAACATACATAAAGGGGGGTAATTTTACCTGCCTTGGGAATTGTATGTTTGTCCATCTGGTCCTGAAATTTGCACAGGCCTGTATGGCAGGAGACATGATTTTTCTCTGCTACAGTTCAGAAGCATCTACAGGTCTTTTTACCTCACAGGACAATAAGGAGAAGCAAAATTGATGAGCCTGTCTCTGCTTTTCTATGCACATGCTCCTTAGGTGCTCATTAATCAAATGATTGGCTCCTTGTTCTGCTTATTCCTCCCTTTGTCTGGTCTCTGCTCTGCAGGCACTGCAAGAGGCTGATACCAGGTTAGATTCAGGTACTTGCACTAATTTGTGGCTTTACTCCACTCCACTCCTCTTGGAAGAATTTCCACAAGATTTTGGAGTTTGTTGGTGGGAATTTGTGCCCAAATGTCAGGTTCTGATGTTGGATGAGAAGATCTGGCTCACAATCCGTGTTCCTATTCATCCCAAAGGTGTTCAGTAGGGTTGAGGTCAGGGCTCTAATGAAGGACACTAGAGATCCTCCACACCAACCTGGTCACACCATATCTTTATGGAACTTGGACATTAATATGTAGTTGCCCTCTTTGTGGCCATAACAGTCTCCACTCTTCAGGGAAGACATTCCACAAGATTTTGGAGGGTGTCTGTGGGAATTTGTCCTATTTGTGAGGTCAGGTACTGATGTTGGATGAGACGACCTGACTCACAATCGTCTTTCAAATTCACCCCAAATGTGTTCAGTAGGGTTGAGCTCAGGGTTCTGTGCAGGGCACTCGGGTTCCTCCACACCAAACTGGTCACACCATATCTTTTATGGAGCTGGCTTTGTACACAGGGGACAGTCATGGTGGAACAGAAAAGAGTCTTCATCAAGCTGTGACCACAAGGCTAAAAGAGGATAATTGTCTACAATGTCTTTGTATGATGGAGTATTACCAGAACCTTCACTGGAGATGCCTGAGCTCCATCATTTGAAATGGGAACCACATATTTTGGGCCCTATAGGTAGGTGTAATAGTCATGTTAACAATGTATGTTGGGTTCACATCACTGTTGGTGATGGTAGCCCATGATACACTTTATGCACAGCATCCTATTAAGTAAACCCTCTTCGGGTACTGATGGTGGATGAGAAGACCTGGCTCAAAGGGTTCCAATTCATCCCAAAGTGTTCAGTAGGGATGAGGTCAGGGCTCTGTGCAGGACACTCGTGTTCCTCCACACCATACTGGTCACATCATGTCTTTATGGAGCTGGCTTTGTACACAGGGGACAGTCATGGTGGAACAGAAAAGGGTCTTCACCAAACTGTGACCACAAGGCTGGAAGTGCCCAATTGTCTACAATGTCTTTGTATGATGGAGTATTAACAGAATCCTTCACTGGAGGCACCTGAATTCTTTCATATGGAGGGGGCTTCACAACATTTTGGCCATATAAGTAGGTGTGATGGTCAGGACTCTATGTTTAGAATTAACAGAACCTTTCACTGGACACCTGAACTCCCGTCATTTAGAGTGGAGCCCACATAGGTTTGGTCATATGGTGTAAATTTGATGGTCAGCGGTCCACAACGTTTGGTCATATGGTATATGGTCGCAGTGGACAACACCTTCACTGTGTCTTCTTTCCAGTTTGTGTTTGAATAATGTGTTAATCAGACTTGCAGAACAAACCTTTGCCTGGAAAAACATGGAGGCTGTCATTGACCCCCCCACCAGGAAATATATCTGGGCAATGATGCGAACCATTATTAACCTCTTGCCGTCCGCCCGTAGTAGAAAAACGGACGGACGGCACTGCTGCATCTGCGGGTTGCCGTCTCCAGAAGGCAATTTTTTTCTGCTCGCGCGCGCCCCCTAGCGGGCACGCACGGGCAGAAAAGACCCGACAATGCACACACCCGGTACCGGGTGTCACACATATAGGCGATCAGCGGGTCCATAGCCCGCCGATCGCCTATATGTGCTCGTTCCCCCCCCCCTGACTCCTCACCTTGATTCCCGGGATCCGCTGCCCCATCTTGGATCCCGGGACCGGCTCCGAGGGCGTCAGGAGGAGGAGGACGGGAGATCAGCTCCTTGCTGATCCCCGTCCGGGCTGTGAATGCAGAAGTGATGTGTGTTACATCACTTCCGCATTCACCTGTCAGTCATCTGGAGAGAGAAGAAGCTGATAAAGCAGATCTCTGCTTTATCAGCTTCTTTTGGGGTCCATAGGTGATATTAGGGGTCCTAGAGACCCCTAATATCTCCATAAAGAGGACCTGTCAGTGTGCCTTTGCTATTATATAGGGGGTTGTTATCCCCCTATATAATAGCAATAACAATAAGTGCAAAAAAAAAAAAAAATATAAATAAAAAAAAAGAAAAGTAACACATAAAAAAATTTAAATAAAAGCCACATATAAAAAAAGGGAAAAAAACCCCCCAAAACGTTTAACTCCCCCACCCCCACGTTTACGCGCCTATAAACGTAAATACGCGTCCGGTGCCCCAGCGCGCAAAAATTACAATTGCGCTACACATGTTACATATCGCCGCGAACGTCGCAGTGAGAGCAATCATTTTAGGGCCATCAATCACTGATAACACTAAACTGATGAGCGGTAACAGCTTTTAAAGCGTCGCCTAGGGCCAATTTTGGGTATTATCGTTTTTTGAGGTTTCGCGCGCGCACGCAATTTTAAGGCTTGACATGTTTAGTGTCTTTTTACCCGACGTGACCCCGTCTTTTATATTTTACCAAAAAATTGGGTAATAATAAATGTTTTATCATTTAATATAGGGGAAACTGTTTTTTTTTTTTTAAATTTCGGTAATTTTTCCTTAATATAGTAAAAAAATAAAACCCCCAGTGGTGAATAAATACCACCAAAAGAAAGCTCTATCTGTCCCCAAAAAAGGGTATAAAATTCATTTCAGTACAGCGCTGCATGACGGAATAAATGTCAGTTAAAGTACCGCAGCGCTGAATACTGAAAAATGGCCTGGATGGGAAGGGGGTTTAACACCGCGGATGTCAACTGGTTAAAGTCAAAATCCTGAATCTGCTAACTTGTGTTTGGTGAGTGACTGAAAGTTTTGAAGACGGAGGTGAACATGGCAGCCAAGCAACTAGCATCAGCAATGGTGGCCTCCCATGTTTTTCTAGGAACGGTTTCCTTTAAGGGATTCCAATATGTTTTATATGTAGATGATCTCATCTTTGGGATCTGTTCATCATAAACCATAGTACGAAGTCACGCACCGCTGTAAACTTTTGTTTCAGCACTGTTGAGGCACCGACGTGTTTTCACCTTCTCCCGGAGCCACAGTTAAGAACCCAGTAGGGGACGAAGCGCATTAGATAAAGGAGATGGGTGGAGTGTCCTTAACAGTTCCGGAACAATAAAGTTGTTTGTGCCTAGCAGAACAGAGGCGTATGCCTTCCTACTGCGATACGTGTGCTTGTAACCTGTGGAGCATAGATATAGAAAAGTGATTAATGTTCCGTTTTCTCCTCTGTATATATACGAGCTAGATGATGGACGATCATTTTTGTTTTGGCAGATGCAGCCTTCCACTTTTCTACCAGCATCATCTGAAGATCATAACCGCCACATTTATTTTCAGCGGAGCGTTGGTGAAGTTTGGACAAGGATTTGGAAAAACAAATATATTTACCCAAAAGCCTGACCCCCCTAAAAAGGTGATGACTGCATTCGGTGTCAGCATTGTATGGCATCACATGACTTACATGTGTGTCTGATGTAGAGCGTTAAAGCTGGACTCCGGGAGAGAGAAACAAATCAATGCAGTTCTGTGTTCATGAAAACATTGTGATTTGAATCTTTTTAAATGGTAACAGTGTAAGTGGAATCAAATTGACTTGAAAATTTTTTTTTGCTAGGAGAGGGAGAAGCAGCATAAGTAGCTAATCCGGTGTACTGCATGTAAATGTGCTAACAAGGGGCATGCTGACTTGCAGGAGAGAGCACAGTGACAGAGATGAGCTAATCAGTCCGCTGCTTCTCCTTTTTACTGTATAGTCACAGGTTGGGGAGGGCCAAGACATGCAACTGGTGTTTTTTTGTCAGCAGAGAAATAATATCATGGTGCTGGGCGGCTTGGGCTGTGAGGCTTGGGCTGTGAGGCTTGGCATGGGAGGCT